CCCGCCGCGCTGACCCCTGCCCGTGTCCCCCCGCAGCCCACGAGGCCGGCGTGGCCGCCCTGCGCGTGGCCTGTCCCCCCCGGCTGCTCTCGGCCGCCGCCCCCTTCGAGTACCGGGCGCGGGGGGCGGCGCGGGGCCCCCCCGGGGCACAGCTGGACTGGCTGGCACTGGACGGTGAGTGAGGACCCCCGAACGGGACAAACCCCCCCCCCCACCCGGGGCAGCCCGTCCCCCTGGGGGTGGCACTTTTGGGGTCCCTTTTGGTTGCGGTGAGCCCACGGCCGCCCCCTGTACCCTCTCTGGGGTCGGGGTGTCCGGGGGGGGGGCTCTGGCTGTTAGGGTGCCCCCCTCAGCCCCGGGTGCCCCCTCTGGCAGAGGCTCAGTTCCGTCTGTCCATCCTGGAGCGCCTGGAGCAGCTGGAGACGCGTCTGGGGGCCCTGCCCCCCCCGGCACCCCCACGGGGGGCTCCCTCCGAGACCCCCCCCGAGCAGGTGAGGCCACCCCGGCAGCCGGGTCAGCCGTGGTGATCCCAGTGTCCCCTCTGATGTCCTCAGTGTCCCTGAACGTGCTGTGGTGTCACCTGGCATCCCCGTGTCTGCTGGAATCCCTGGGGTTTCCTGGGGTCCCCGTGTGCCTCGAGGGTCTCCTGACATTGCTTGCTGTCCCCACTGTGTCCCCCATGTCCTCGAGGGTCTCCCGATGCTCTCTGCCACTCCCTGCTGTCCTCACTGTCCCCATGCTGCAGTGGCCTGCCGTTCCCTGGTCACTGTCCCCCTCCACCATGCCCTGCCACCCCTCAGGACCCCCCGGTGCCCCCCTCTCCTCGTGCCCTGGCGTCCCCTGAGGTGCTCCCTGCCTGCAGGGGCCGGGCTCGTCCTTCGAGGCGCGGGTGGTGGCCATCTGCGAGGCCATGATGGCCCGGCCGGGCTGCGCGGGGACGGCGCTGGGGACATCGCTGGGCACCTCGGGGACCTCGATGCTGGCGCACGGGGTGACCTTCCGTGGCATGACGCTGCTGCACCTGGCGGCCGCCCAGGGCTACGCCAGCCTGGTGGAGGCTCTTCGGCGCTGGCGGTGAGCAGGGACACCCGGGGGGACACCCGGGGACACCTGGGGGGACACGAAGCGGGGGAAGCCATGGGTGTCCCCCCACCACAGGCAGCCTGCCTGAGCAGAGGTGACACTTTTCCAGCCTGTGTCCCTTCCTGTCCCTGCAGGGCGCTGGCAGTTGAGAGCCTGGAGCTGGAGCAGGAGATCGACCCCCTCAATGTGGACCATTTCTCCTGCACCCCCCTGGTAAGGGGACAATGGGGACGCTGGGGACACTGCGGCCGTGGTGGGGACAGGGCTGGCAATGCATGCCAAGGGGATGGGGCGCAGGGTGGTGCCTCAGGCAGGGCCGGAGGGACACCAGGGATGGCACCTGGGGGCCGAGGGACGCCTTGGGGACACGCTGTTGCCTCCGTGTCGCCAGATGTGGGCGTGTGCCCTGGGGCACCGGGAGGCGGCGGAGCGGCTGTGCCGCTGGGACCGGCGGGCGCTGGCCGTCCCCGACACCCTGGGGCGGCTGCCGCTGGCCCTGGCACGCGCCCGCGGCCACCTGGCCCTGGTCACCCGCCTCGAGGAGCTGCAGATGTCACCCGTGTCCCCACGCTGTCACCTGCCCGGCCTGCGCATCCCCTCCCCGCTGTCCGCCAGCCCCGACACAGGTATGGCGCTGGCACCTGCCTGTCCTCTGGCACTCTGTCCTGTTGTCACTGTGTCCCGTCCTGGGCTGCTGCTCACCACCCCCCTGGTGTGGTCACTGTCCCCTCGCTGCTCCTGACCGCTGTCACTGTCACCATATTCTCCCCTTTTGTGTGCCCCCAGGGCATCATTGTCCCCTCCAGCCTTTCCCCCGTGTCCTCCCCACGTCCCCTGTACATCTTTGTGTACCCAGGTGTTCTTTGTCCCCCCCTCCTGTGTTCCCTGTGCCACCCCCATGTCCCCCTTGTCCTCTGTCCTCCGCAGCCCCTCTGTGTCCCTGGTAAGTCCCCGTGGTGTCCCCTGTCCTCTTGCCGTGTCCCACATGTCCCCCCTTCCCCTGGGGGGTTCTCTCCAGGACTAAACCCCCCTGCTGTGTCCCCCCTTCCCCTGGGGTGTCTCTCCAGGACTAAACCCCCCCTGCCGTGTCCCCCCTGTCCCCAGGGCTGAGCACAGCCAGCAGCCTCTCGTCCCCATCGGGGCTCTCCGAGGGTCCCGGCTCCGTCCCGCTGCCCCCCGGCCCCCCTGGCCCCTCCGAGGATGAGAGCTGGGGGGTGGCAGTGCCCCCCAGCCCCCCCGAGGACGCCCTGGCCCTGCCCTCTGACACGCTGCAGGTAAAGCTGGGGGACAGCCGGGGCTGGGGACACGCCTGGAGCAGGAGAGCCCCAACGTCCCTTGTCCCCAGGCCGAGGTGGTGACGCTGGCGCGACAGATCATCGAGGCCACCCCTGAGCGCATCAAGCAGGAGGCACCGGGGGGGCCCCCGGGGGCACTGGGAGCACTGGGAGCAGCAGGAGGGACCCCGGGCACCACGGGGACCCCGGGGCCAGCGGGGCTGGGTGCTGCCATGGCCTGGCTGGCCACCTACCTGGAGAGCGTTGACCGTCCCCCCGCGCCCGCCCACAGGTACCCCCGGGGGGTGACCTTCCGTGGGATGACGCTGCTGCACCTGGCGGCCGCCCAGGGCTACGCCAGCCTGGTGGAGGCTCTTCGGCGCTGGCGGTGAGCAGGGACACCCGGGGGGACACCCGGGGACACCTGGGGGGACACGAAGCGGGGGAAGCCATGGGTGTCCCCCCACCACAGGCAGCCTGCCTGAGCAGAGGTGACACTTTTCCAGCCTGTGTCCCTTCCTGTCCCTGCAGGGCGCTGGCAGTTGAGAGCCTGGAGCTGGAGCAGGAGATCGACCCCCTCAACGTGGACCATTTCTCCTGCACCCCCCTGGTAAGGGGACAATGGGGACACTGCGGCCGTGGTGGTGACAGCGGGGACAGGGCTGGCAATGCATGCCAAGGAGATGGGGCGCAGGGTGGTGCCTCAGGCAGGGCCGGAGGGACACCAGGGATGGCACCTGGGGGCCGAGGGACGCCTTGGGGACACGCTGTCGCCTCCGTGTCGCCAGATGTGGGCGTGTGCCCTGGGGCACCGGGAGGCGGCGGAGCGGCTGTGCCGCTGGGACCGGCGGGCGCTGGCCGTCCCCGACACCCTGGGGCGGCTGCCGCTGGCCCTGGCACGCGCCCGCGGCCACCTGGCCCTGGTCACCCGCCTCGAGGAGCTGCAGATGTCACCCGTGTCCCCACGCTGTCACCTGCCCGGCCTGCGCATCCCCTCCCCGCTGTCCGCCAGCCCCGACACAGGTATGGCGCTGGCATCTGCCTGTCCTCTGTCACTCTGTCCTGTTGTCACTGTGTCCCGTCCTGGGCTGCTGCTCACCACCCCCCTGGTGTGGTCACTGTCCCCTCGCTGCTCCTGACCGCTGTCACTGTCACCATATTCTCCCCTTTTGTGTGCCCCCAGGGCATCATTGTCCCCTCCAGCCTTTCCCCCGTGTCCTCCCCACGTCCCCTGTACATCTTTGTGTACCCAGGTGTTCTTTGTCCCCCCCTCCTGTGTTCCCTGTGCCACCCCCATGTCCCCCTTGTCCTCTGTCCTCCGCAGCCCCTCTGTGTCCCTGGTAAGTCCCCGTGGTGTCCCCTGTCCTCTTGCCGTGTCCCACATGTCCCCCCTTCCCCTGGGGGGGTCTCTCCAGGACTAAACCCCCCCTGCCGTGTCCCCCCTGTCCCCAGGGCTGAGCACAGCCAGCAGCCTCTCGTCCCCATCGGGGCTCTCCGAGGGTCCCGGCTCCGTCCCGCTGCCCCCCGGCCCCCCTGGCCCCTCCGAGGATGAGAGCTGGGGGGTGGCAGTGCCCCCCAGCCCCCCCGAGGACGCCCTGGCCCTGCCCTCTGACACGCTGCAGGTAAAGCTGGGGGACAGCCGGGGCTGGGGACACGCCTGGAGCAGGAGAGCCCCAACGTCCCTTGTCCCCAGGCCGAGGTGGTGACGCTGGCGCGACAGATCATCGAGGCCACCCCTGAGCGCATCAAGCAGGAGGCACCGGGGGGGCCCCCGGGGGCACTGGGAGCACTGGGAGCAGCAGGAGGGACCCCGGGCACCACGGGGACCCCGGGGCCAGCGGGGCTGGGTGCTGCCATGGCCTGGCTGGCCACCTACCTGGAGAGCGTTGACCGTCCCCCCGCGCCCGCCCACAGGTACCCCCGGGGCTGGGGGGTGTCCCGGGGCACACTCAGCTCCCTGGGGTGGGGGGGTCACCCCCGTTCAGCAGCACCCCGGGGTGCTCTCGGGGGTCCCGGTGCCTGTATCCCCTTGGGAGGGTCCTTTAGTGGGGGTCTCCCACACCCTGCAAACCCCTGGGGGCCGTCCCCGGGCTCCGGGACCCCGCGGCGTCCCCCTGGGGACACTCGGTGACACTCCAGCTCCTTCCTGGGTGCGTCCCACCCTGGGCGGGGGGTGCCAGCCCTCGCCCCCCTGACCCCCGCCCTGTGCTCCCCAGGGCCGAGGTGGCCTCGCGGGGGTCCCCGGGGGTCCCCGAGCGGCCTCCCCCCCCTTCGGCCGCGGGCTGGGCCGAGTTCCTGAACGCGTCCGGGGGGGCGCGGGGCGAGGGGGGGGCCGTGGCGCTGCTGACCCTCAGCGACCAGGAGCAGCACGAGCTCTACGAGGCCGCGCGGCTGGTGCAGGGGGCTTTCCGCAAGTACCGGGTGCGTGCCCCCCCTCCCCAGCACCCCAAAACCCCCTCCCCATGCCCCGGGGGGGGCTCCCCGGCGCCGCTGACCCCCGCGCTGCCCCCAGGGCCGGAGGCTGAAGGAGCAGCAGGAGCTGGCGGCCGCCGTCATCCAGCGCTGCTACCGCAAGTACAAGCAGGTACTGAGGGGTGGGGGGCCCCCAAACCCCCCCCCGGGCAGCCCCCAGACCCCCCCTAACCCCCTGTCTCTGCCCCACAAGCTGACCTGGATCGCTCTGAAGGTAACGGGGGGCAGTGGTGGGGGTCACCCAGGTTTGGGGGCTGTTTGAGGGTGGGGGTCCTTGCTGGGGGGGATTTGGGGTGCCCCCCTCTGTATGCCCTGTGTCCCCCCAGTTTGCCCTGCTCCAGTGGGCGTGACATTGGGGGTCACTGTTGAGGTGACTCTGGGGTGACACCGAGGTGACACCGAGGTGACAGCGGTGTCCCCTGCCCCCAGTTCGCGCTGTTCCAGCGGATGACGCAGGCCGCCATCCTGATCCAGAGCAAGTTCCGCAGCTACGCGGAGCAGAAGCGCTTCCAGCGGCGCCGGCGCGCGGCCGTGCTGATCCAGCAGCGCTTCCGCAGCCTCCGCCAGCACCGGTGGGGCCCGGGGGGCTCCGGGGCCGGGGGCACGGCCCGCAGGGGTCCTCACCGTGCCCTCGTCCCCCCCAGGAGCACCTTCCTCACCCTCAAGCAGGACCAGGCGGCCAGGAAGATCATGAGGTTCCTGCGGCGCTGCCGCCACCGGTACGGGGGACGCCGGGAGGTGACAGCGGAGCTTCGGGGGACAGGTGACGCCGGCGGGGCAGGGTCTCCAAGAGCCTGACCCCTCCCCGAATTGGTGTTTCCTGGGGCAGGATGGAGGAGCTGAAGCAGAACAAGGAGGTGGAGAGTTTACAGACGCGGGGCCTGGCCTCGTGAGCCCCCCACGGGGGACCCCGGCGCGGGGGGAGCTCTGTCCCTGTCCCTGTCCCTGTCCCTGTCCCCCCCCCTGTCCCCCGAGGAGAGCCGCCCCGCGCCCCCTCCCCGCTCGCCCCCGCGCCTCCCCCGCATGCCCAGCCCGTGCCCCCGGCCCGAGGGGGCTCTTTGTACAAAGTTCCATTAAAAAACGAGGAAGCGGGAATGAAAGACGCGAGGTGTGGGTGTGTGTGGGGGGACGGACACGGAGGGGGACAGAGGGGACATCGCTGGGGGGATGGGGACG